CAAACCAGCGACGGTTGTGAATAATAAATATTACTGTGCCATTGTAAGAGTGGTGGACTTTCTAAAATATAGTCAACAGAACTTCAAAACAATTAAATTAGTAACAAACAGCTATGCGAACGAACACAGCTAGGCTATTTTTACCTACATAAAATATAGGTTTCCGATAGATAGTGGTATAACCATCGACTGTTTACGTCAGCAGTAATGTACCTAAACAGGCGACGGGTAGCAACATCAAATGTGAGAGACGTCCGGTGGGTACTGTGATTGCCAATCTGCCTATCGACAGCGTTATGGACTTTAAAGGGCTGTAAAAGAAGAAAAAAATGATATATGAATACATGAATATTGTATTGCTTTTCTTCTTAATTTATTATTAAACTTAATATTACAGAAGTCGTTGTCTTGAATTAATTGATAAATCAAAACTGCAATTCAAACCTCATATTTTTAGATACGATTTTATAAGATTTAATATAAATTGTCCCATACCCTCGATATCGAAAGCAAATAAGGTTAAGTGAAATGATTTTCCGAGCTCTTACACGCATTTCAAAAACATACCTCTCAAAAAGTCCTTCAAGGTATTTTACATAATTATTGTATAATTACATTTTCTTAGGTTTTTAATCTATATCTATATCTATAGTATATTAAATGTGGAGAATTAGTTGATTAGATCTTGGCATCAAAGTCTAAGATTTCAAGCCGGTAAATTTTGGTATTTCACAAGGTTGAACGCATTCGGCTGATCTGTATCTTTTGCATATTGTGACGGCGCGTTATTATTAAATATAAATAATAATTAATTCCTATATAAAATCGTCTAAAATATTGTAGATATAATATTTTTAACAATTAAAATGCATTAATAAGCATAGTTAATATAAATTGATTTAATGATTTCTTATATTTACGTGAACACTACACATTGATTAAAACTACTTTTACGGATTTTATCGTGTTTATTTTACTATTATTTTTATTCCCGACGTTTCGGGCGCTTTCCAGCACCCATGGTCACGGGGGAATGAGATGACTGACGTCCCGATGTCATTGTTAAACCGGGAGTACCTTCAGCTTTTTTAGACCATAAACAATAATTAAAAAAGCTGAAGGTACTCCGGGTTTAACAATGACATCGGGACGTCAGTCATCTCAGTCCCCCGTGACCATAGGTGCTGGAAAGCGCCCGAAACGTCGGGAATAAAAATAATAGTAAAATAAACGCGATAAAATCAGTAAAAGTAGTTTTAATCAATAAATTGATTTTGAACATTAAGTATATCAAAATTTAAATTTTCAAAGGAAACTAAATAATAGAAATACGAGTTGATTATATTACAATAATAACGTTTTATATTATATAAGTGACTCATCGTATTTATGCATTGTTGAAGCGTGTTTATTTATGTTTTTGTTTTATAGGAGAGGGTGCAGACGAGCATACGGATTACCTGATGTTAAGTGACTACCGTCGCCCATGAACAACTGCAACACCAGGGGAATTGCAGGTGCGTTGCCGACCTTTTAGAAAGGAGTAAGCTCTTTTCTTGAAGGTCCCTAGGTCGTATCGTTCCGCAAAAATCGGCGGTGGTAAACTATTTCACAGAGAGGTCGTACACGGAAGAAAACTCCTAGTGAAACGTACAGTGGTGGACCGGCAAGCATACAGATGGTGTGAATGGAATTGGAAGGTTTGCCACGTAGTGAGTTCATTAAATTTGGCGGCTGGGATTAATCCAAATATTTCGTCAGAGAACTCCCCGTGGTAGCTGCAAAAGGAAATTCAAAGAGATGCAACATCTCTTCGCAGCGCCAGTGAATCGAGACGATCATAAAGCTCTCGGTCGTCGACGATTCGAGCCGCTCTACGCTGGATGCGGTAAAGTGGAAGAAGCTGGCACTGGAGAGCTCGGTCGAACCTGCGCCTTGTAAAGTTGCAGGCGGTGGCCGGCATAAAATTTTGTCCCGTTCTACTGAGCACGCCAAGCTTTTTAGGGGATAATTTGGCCTTCTCTTTCAAGTGACCACAAAACTACACGTCACTTGATATGTCAACGCCAAGAATTCCGATACTGGCTGAGGCAATAATGGGAGTGCCTTGAAACTGAGGAGATACGAAAAAGAGGTTCTTTTTAGCAGTAAACGCACAAACTTGTATCTTCCGAGGGTTAAACTGGACTGGATTTAGTCGCCCCTAAATCAAAACTTAATTCAGCATTGACTGCACTCCAGACACAAGTTTGTCCCGGTACTCGGTGACATTTTCCCGAGAAATATTGGCACGGCCGGTGTCATCACCAGTGTTGTCATCTGCATAGCAATGAATGTTACGAGTTTGCAACATATCATTGATAAGACAGCGTTGGCGATAGCAGCCTTGTGGAACACCAGCATTAACAGGCTTGCAATCGGAGCTTGCACCGTCTACAACGACCTTGATGCACCGATCTGCAAGAAACCTGGTGATTCAATCGAATAATTTCTCGGGAAGCCCATAGGAAGGGAGCATCGAAAGAAGCGCTTGTGACAAACCCAATCGAAGGCCTTCGCAATGTCCAAACTAACAGCCAATGCCTCCCCCTTGGACTCTACTGCTTCCTCCCATCTGTGAGTTAGGTAGAACAGAAGATCACCAGCTGACCGACCACGGCGAAAACCGTATTGGCGATCAATAATCAGCTGGTGATCCTCAAGGTACCTCATGAGCTGACAGTTAACAATAGACTCCATTGTTTTGGAGAACAAGGAGGTGATCGCGATAGGCCGGTAGTTGGATGGATCTGAGCGGTCGCCTTTTTTAGGGATCGGGTGGACGAAAGCCGTCCTCCATGATTTTGTGACTACGCCTAGAGAGTAGGAGTACCGTAAAAGACGCGTTAAAACCGGTGGTAACTCTGGAGCACACGTCCTCAACACATTTGGAGGAATGCCGTCAGGCCCACTCGACTTGTGGATGTCAAGGGAGAGGAGTGCTTTACGAACCGAGCGCTGTGTAAACTGCACTTCCGGCATGGAGCACTTACACCGCGGGATGGTCGGCGGCGTACTCCCCCCGTCATCGAGAGTCGAGTTGGATGCAAAGAAAGAGCAGCTGCCTAGCAGATCGGCTTTCTCCTTTGCGGTATGGGCCAGTGGGTCTTCCTCCCTGTGCAGAGATGGAAGAAATGGCTAAAATTTCCCTGGACAGCCTTGGCGAGGGCCAGAATGCACGGGGTTCAGAAAGAAGGCGAACTAATTTCTCGCCAATTCTGCCTATGTGCTCTGACTTTACCTTGGCAATGGCTCTTTTGAAGGACCTAGAGGCGGAATTATAATTCTTTTTTAGAGCGCCGGTATTTACATCCCGAGGCTTGGTAGCATTCCTGCTTATAGCATGACGCTATTTTACAGGAGCGACCAAACCATGGCTGAGATTTGCCTCCAATGGGCACCACAGAGGAATAAATAAAAAGTTCCATACCCTGAGTACCACATCAGCGACAGAATCCGCAACAACGTTGGGGTCTTCCGGTGAGAAGCAACCCCCCCTCCCCGCACAAAGGGTAGTATGCAAAGAAAGACCGCATCCCATCCCAATCGGGTGACCTATAGTGCGAAACATGGCGGCAGCCTGCAGAATGCAACTGCGATTTTAGCGTGAGTGAGAGTGAGGCACCACACACCGAACAAGATAATGGTCCGAGGAGCTCAAAGGGGCGTCGACGGAAATCTGATATCCGTCCGGGTGAGAGGTCAGCAGGAGGTTCAACAGGGAAGGTGTATGATCCTCCACATCTGGAAACCGTGTAGGCGAAGTAACCAGTTGTGTCACACCATATGCCAAGACAAAATCATGAACAGATCTCCCCGCATGATCGGTTAAACGTGAACCAAGCCAATCGTCGCGATGGGCTTTAAAGTCGCCGAGGATCACGATCTCTGCGTAGGGGTCAGCTGAGGCAACGAATCTGTAGCCATTTGGACGTGGTCGAAGAGTCGGTCTGTTTCAGCATTACCGCTATGACACCTATAAAGGCACCCGTAGACGCGCGGGTGGTTGTCGCTGTCTACGCGTAGCCAAAGAATGGACAGGTCCGAACCTTCAAGACTGCCGAGCGGTCAAGAACCGATGTCCTCTCTGATGTAAACGCAAACTCCAGCCCGAGGCACAAAGGATTGTTCCAGTTTGTACTCCAGGTAGGAGATATACGAGACATCAGCCGGTGGGGACACCTGCGCCTCGGTCAGAAAGAGCAGAGCCGGCCTCGCCGTCTCGAGATGGTGGTGGATCAGCTTCCGCGCGGTTTTCGATCCTATAATCAGCTGGTTCTATTTTACGTTTCACTGTTGGTTTTATGTTCATGACTTTTTTATGAAATTGGGTAGTTTTCAAAAAATTGCCGTTTTTGACAAAAGTAAAAAAAATTATTGAATGTGATTTATATGATATCTTATTTAATTTATTAGGTCAAAATGTGTACTTTTGGCTACAAGGGAACCAGGAATAGCCAATTTTCTAGGAGGTAGAAGGCAGGTTAATTAGAAACTGGCAGGTTAAATTAGATACTGGTAGGTTAGATTAGGAAAGCTTCAGGTGAATTATAAAACGGGCAATAATCCTAAATAAAAACATAAACAAAATCAAATATTTTTATTATTAAACGAAACTCGTATTTAAACCATAATTATAAAGTTTCACTATTAATCTGAACCTAAAACAGTTTCATAAATAACATTTAAGTGTCAAACTTATTATTATAATTAAGTTATTCAGTCAAGTCAAGGTTTTATTATTTACTTATGTAAAAATAAAATGTGTGAAAATAAAAGGGAAATAAACTTTTCTACCTTCTGTAACCTTAAGCGACTAATCAGTAACAAAAAATAAAATTATTCTTAAAAATACAATAACAATTCTCTCTTCTGAAAGTCATAAAATAATACATACTTCTAAAATTCAAAATGCAAAAGAAAGTAAAAGTTTAAGTTCTTCAAATAAAATTAAAGTAGAGTTAATCAATGTTCAATTTTCTTAGTGACTTAGGAAATTCGAATGCTACTATCCTTTTAGAGGAGGATTTGAAATAAGGTTGTGGAAGTTTTTTAATCACTTGATATTTTCCAATCACGCATATATCGGGTTTCTCTGGCCATTTAAATCTTCTGTCATTAATTTTTCTGGCAAATTTTATATTAAGGCCAGCAAGACTCTCATTGATAACTTGGCCCACATAACGATGTATTTTCTTTCTCTCGGAAACAAACTTTACCACTACCCAATCACCTTCATGGACATTGTTTTCGTCGAAGCAGTCGTTTTCTTCGGATTCATTTTTTTGAGTATTTCTTTTTCCTTTATTTCCCGTCTTTCTATTACTTTTTGACGGTCCTGCTCTTAGTTGTGAACTTACACATTTGGAAGTTGACTGGAGAGAATTTTTTGCATGCTCTGTAGAACCAATTTCAGGACGATGAACAGAGGAAAGTGATACTGCCATATCAGGAGATGATAGCTGAAAAAAAGAAATGTCACCAGCAGATCTTGTAGTTTCACAAGAGTCAGCAGTGACAGCCAGATCAGTCAAATCCGAGGAAGATTGCTGAGCAAGAGGTTCGTCAAGTGCCGATTTTATTACCGTCTGAAGGGAATGTTCAAGAATTTCAACATCTTCTGAAATGTTAAATCCATAGTCAGCCTCCGGTTTATTAATAGAATCCACAGTCATCAAATTCTGAACATTCATCATTTTCTCTGAAAAACATAATTCAGCGTATTCAGATCTCACATCTGATGCCTCAGTCACAATTTCAGACCTAAGTTCTTCTGGGAGATTGTTTTCACTCGTAACACAAAATGCGTAAGATCTGTGTAAAGGAACTACAGAAGAAAATATATTTGATTGATCAGTATTCTCTATCTCATCAGCTGGATCTGAATCGGCAGAGCTAGACAAAATATCGGGGCTAAGGACATGTAAGCCAAGATATTTGACATGATTACAGCAGCGAGGCTGAATAATACAAGCTTTTTCAACACAACTTAGGTTTCGCATTGTCACCTGATACTTATCGCTGTCATTCCAAACAACTTGGTGAACTTGTTGGCTCCCTTTGAAAGGACGGAGATCAGTAGGGAACAGTATATCTTTTTCTACAATATCGTAATCTGATACTACTTCAATTACGATATTTTTCACATTAGTTTTTAATTTATCGAGAAAAGTGTCGAAATCGGGAATATCGTGGCTACCGGAAACAATTGCATCAGCAGTGCGTTTCAACGTCCCTCCAACACCGTCGGGTGCCCCCTTGCCATGACCTGACTCAGTGTAGTTCCAGGTCAATGAGGCCAGACTAGTATTATACCATTTTAAGGCACCGATAACAAAGAATGTTTTGTAATTTCTGTATTGGCTTGTGGCAGAATCCGAAACAAAGTGAAGAATCGTAATTTGGGGTGCCTTTTGTTTGAGATATTCAAGGATAGGAACTACGTGTGCCCAAACAGCAGCAGCATCATGTCTTAAATTTTAACTTATTGTGGCAAAAGATTGTGTTGTTCTGGTATAATCGCTGTCAAAGAAATACAATAAACTTGTATGTAAAGTTACTTGTTTTCTACTTCCACCAAAATGTACTGCCTGAATCTCTTTAGCATACTGACATTTATAGTTTTCTGAGAAGTCAACATGAATAATGGCTTCTTCGGGTTGCAAATTGTTTTTTAATGTCTTAATAGCATTATGTTGAGTTGTCACTCTTCCACAATGTTTGGAAAAGTTCTCTAACTGTTTTTCAAAAATATGAATAGCATCTCTTGGCCGGATAGTGATTTTCTCTTTTTTCATCACTCTGATACACTTTTCCCGTCCGCTTTGTACAATTTTTTCACGATTTGATGGCCAGGACCAATAGTTAAAATCAACAGAATTATCAAATTCTTGAAAGTTTGTAATAACTTTTACTTTGCAATCTTTGCATATCCTCAGTAAACATTGAGGACTGAAAGGGTCACAGCAAATGTCTATTAGCACGTCAGTGGTGTTTTTGTGAGGAATTATGTGGTGTTTATGCATCGCCTCAACTAATAGTCTAAAATTTTCATGGGTAATGCACAGGCATGTCTCCTTGGTTTTTTGCGATGGAAAAAAGAACCCAAAATGGTCTAAATCTGCTAAAAGTTGAAAAGCTCAATTTGTAATCGATTTTTGTCAAAAATTTTCTGTGTAAGTGATACAAGGAATCAGTCATGTAGCGCCTCTGTTTTGTTACACCAGCTTTCTTTATAGTTTCTTTTTTCCCAGCAGTAACAGAGCTGTTTTCGTCTTCTTCAAGGAATCTCTTAATATCATCTCGTATTTTTTTAACTTTAGATCCTTTCTGCTCGCTCACCCTCCTTCTAAAAACGTTAGTCAATTTTCCTAAACACCCTTTGTCTTTTAATGTAGTTTTTATATTCACTTGAAGATTCCTTGCAAACTCTGTAGTGTTATGCTACTTACATATCATTTTACACTATTTTAAATTTATTTTTCCATTCTGCTTTTGATTTTCTGCATTAGCCTCAAAACTGGATATTTTGCATCACCTTTATTTTCATAAGATCCTGTAACGTTTTTAAACCATAAGAACACAATAACAAATCATTTTCACATCGTATTTTCACGTTATCAGCACTTTTTAAATCGGTGTCAATGGAGTCTACCTTTTTCGGTATTTTATTTAGTTCTCCGTAACTCTGCAATTTCGGGCTTCGTGCGCACTGTTGCGCTACCTTTTTTCTTATATCAATAATATCTCATCTTTCACTTAAATCTTGCCGTTTTTCTATTACGAGCCTAAAACCAAAATTTGACATGTTTTGACATCGTTGTTTATCTGGTTGTCATGACAATTTTTATTCAAATATCGTTACCGGCCTGATGTTTTTACTTCAAAAAATACTCTTTTCTTCTTGGCCATTTACAAAAATTTGCTTTTAATTTAAATAATTTCAAAATGTTAAATAAATTATTTTCTTTTTCGTTGTTTCGTTGTTAGGTTAGGTTCTATAGTTTTTAATTGTGGCTTTACATTTTATAAAAGAAACTGTAAATATCTTTACAAATTTTAAATAAATTATTTTCTTTTTGGTTGTTTCGTTGTTAGGTTAGGTTCTTTAGTTTTTAACTGTCGCTTCACGACATTTTGGCGCCCAACGTAAAAGTTCTTCACTCTTAATTTTTCTTTTTTCTCTTTTCTTCACCTTAACTACGTCTTATCCATTTCCTTTTGATTTAATTGCTTTCTCTTTCATTCTTAACTCTTTATTTACTCATCCTTATCATATCTTCCAAATTCTAAAACAAAACTTCGTCTAGTTTTTCAACTTATCTGGATTATATTTAGACCTACATATAACACTTCACTTACATTCATCACTTCAATATTTTTATTCCAGATAACTTAAAGAGGTACAATTTTTAATTAAATTTTATTTCTTAAACTTAACTTTGCACTTAAAACAATGAAAAGGGTTATTAAGTACGAATTCCTTAACAAGGTCGAACTCGAATACGAAATGAAGATTAGATGTGAGGAACCAGCTAATACTGTTTTGCATGACACTACATTTGTATATATGTTTGTATATTTGTATATATGTTTGTATATATGTATAATTATTACCTGATTAATTTCTTTATCTTTATCTTCACTCAGGAGCGGTTGACAACTCCTTAAATAAGCCTGAATGTCCTTTTAGTGATGTTGCTCATCTCTGGCTTTGAGCCCTACCGCTCTGGCCGTTCTTAATCTTTACTTAAGTCATAGCGACTAAAGCTTGCTTAAGATTAATTTCTTTATCTTTATCTTCACTTGGGAGCGGCTGACTACTCCCTTAATAATTTTTTTTCCACGCAGGAGCGGATGACAACTCCTTAAATAAGCCTGAATGTCCTTTCGAAAACACACTTTTAGAGTGGTAGTCATTGAATGTGAACTCCACCCTTACATGAATGCAAATGATGAATGTAAGAGATAGTATATCTGATTTTGTCTGGTGATGTCTGTTACTGCAAAGCTGTGTTTTTATGGTTTATTTTAGAATGTACATGTCAAAATTTTTGCTGAGTCAAAAATTTTCCAGGGTCGGGGGGAAAATGTAGTGTTATGCTACTTACATATCATTTTACACTATTTTAAATTTATTTTTCCATTCTGTTTTTGATTTTCTGCATTAGCCTCAAAACCGGATATTTTGCATCACCTTTATTTTCATAGGATCCTGTAACGTTTTTAAACCATAAGAACACAATAACAAATCATTTTCACATCGTATTTTCACGTTATCAGCACTTTTTAAATCGGTGTCAATGGAGTGTACCTTTTTCGGTATTTTATTTAGTTCTCCGTAACTCTGCAATTTCGGACTTCGTGCGCACTGTTGCGCTACCTTTTTTCCTATATGAATAATATCTCATTTTTCACTTAAATCTTGCCGTTTCTCTATTACGAGCCTAAAACCAAAATTTGACATGTTTTGACATCGTTGTTTATCTGGTTGTCATGGCAATTTTTATTCAAATATCGTTACCGGCCTGATGTTTTTACTTCAAAAATACTCTTTTCTTCTTGGCCATTTACAAAAATTTGCTTTTAATTTAAATAATTTCAAATAATTTCTCGTTCTTATCCCAGATCCGTCAAAAAGTATAAAAGCCGAGGAATCGGCCAATAGAGGTTCTCACTTCAGCTTTGATACGAGAAGTACCTCTTAAAGGCTTTATCCGCACTGCCTCGGGATCTTGCAAGTCTTCTCCTGAAGTCGTCGCCTAGCCACGCCTACGCCTCCACCTATTAGTGCCCGCGCTATCTTCGGCCGCTGAGCGTGCTTGTCTCAAGCGCTGCGTGTTCCTACTCCAGACGCTGCGTGTCTCCTGCGCTCCGGGCGCTGTGTGTGTCTACTCCGGGCACTGTGTGTGTCTACTCCGGGCGTTGCGTGTGCTTACTCCGAGCTGTGTGTGTGTGCCTACTCTAAGTGCTGCGTGTACCTGCTCAATACGCTGTGTGTACCTACGCCAGACGCTGCGTGGACCTACTCCAGACGCTGCGTGTCTACTCCAGGCGCTGTGTGTGTCTACTCCGGGTGTTGTGTGTGCTCATTCTGGTCGCTGTGTGTGCCTACTTCAAGCGCTGCGTGTACCTAGATTAGGCGCTGTGCATCTACCACAGGCATAGCCTGTACATACATTGTTTCCGTACTCATTTATCTTTATTAACTTTTATTTTTTTTAAAAATTGTAATTCACTATCATCACTACAGCCCATCATCACCCTCATACCTTTTTTTTATAAAAAAAAAGCTGTAAATATCTTTACAATTTTTTAAATAAATTATTTTCTTTTTGGTTGTTTCGTTGTTAGATTAGGTTCTATAGTTTTTAATTGTGGCTTTACATTTTATAAAAGAAACTGTAAATATCTTTACAAATTTTAAATAAATTATTTTCTTTTTGGTTGTTTCGTTGTTAGGTTAGGTTCTTTAGTTTTTAACTGTCGCTTCACAACAACTCTTGCTTGGCTTTGTGAGTTTTCAGAGCTGTATATGACTGTAGCAATTTGTCATTCATAATATCCACTGCTTTCTTTTTTTTTCTCAGTCAGTCTTTTTAATTTCTTCCGGTAAGCTTCATTTACTTTCTTAACTCCTTCCAATTGTCTTGTAAGTTCTTTAATTTTTTTGTCTTTTTTGTATCTTAATCTTCTGATTGATTGGAAAGGGGAAATTTCTCTGCTGAGAACTGAAGATGTTTCTGAAACCTGTGATGTGCAACCAGAAAGGGGACTTCCCTGCGATCTTGTGATTCTTGAATTGGGATCAGTATTTTCTTTATTGTCTCGCATAATCGGTAACAATGAAGAAGAGGCGAGAATTGAAGGAGAAGGAGAGTTCCTATTTAGTATAATCAATTCTGTTCTACGCTCGTTATTCTCTTCTGCCTCACTGTCTGGGGGGGGGGCTATGTAACTCCACAAATCTCATTGCAGCGGCTTTTGCATCTTTCTTTCTTTTATAATAGGCATTGAAAGTATCACGCCATTTTTTTCTTTGCGCTCTCTTGGCTCTAGGTGTCATCTCTTTAATAGAAGTCACTTTCTTCTCTGCCTTCCTTTTCTCATATTTAGCTTTATTTTTTAGTTGATATTGAGCGTATAATACTGGGTCTCTCTTAATTTTCTGGTATTTCTTTTGTTCTAGTTCTCTTTTGCGTTTTTTTCTTTCCTCATTGGTCGAATTTATTGTCATATGAGTATTCATTATATATATATGAGAATTAGTTTTTGGTCGACCCATTGTTGACCTACAAACAAAATCACACACAGCTTTACTCTCGGGTACAAGTACTTGTGATATCTCTATCCCCCCTAAACTATGTATTAGTGATGAAATGAAGTTAAGTTCATTTTGTCGTTTATTTTAAGACTAACTGCCATTACTTTAGGACTCAAACTTGCACAATATTAAAACTTAATCTAAAATATAATTAATTTTAATAATTTTAATAGACGGTCGAGTGCAGTTCAAAATAATTAAGATTTAAGATAATTATGACTAAAAATAGTCTTAAGTTATAAAGGGCTAAGTCTAGTTTTCAGTTAATAAGCAATATAAGTCTAGTCTCTTTTATAAGGCTTAATAAAAGACTATGTTTTGATCACCACTATCGATGCGCTGTCTGAAAGCTAAGGCGATCTCATTCACTCGAACATATCTCATTCACCTGTTTGATACCGACAGGTTATTTAGAAACGGGTTAATTAGAAAATGACCGTTATATTGTCGAATACATGCAAACGTTTACTTTAGCAAGGTTATACCTACTCCACTTCAAAGCTGACCTCATATACTATATAATCAAGTGAACCTTCGACTAGAACTGTATAATAAGTGTTAAAATTATTGTAGCAGGTAAAATAGAACTTACAGTTACAAATTTATCGGCGTCAACTCGATGATTATTTTTGGTCACAATAAATACACACTTGCACACGTATGTCTACATCTGCCGCTGGCGGACAACTGAGGCAACGTGGCGGGAGGGGCACGGACTCCGTTTTGCATTTGTATCGCGTACAATTGAAAATTATTTAAGGTGACAGGTGATGTAGAAATTATTGCTTACAAAAACTTTTTCTTCGTTGTTTTCCTATTTTCTCGATTTAGGAGGCATAGAATTGCAGAGATTATAGCCTGGGCTTTCATAAATAAAGTTTTTTATTGTATTTCGTAATATCCCTAATGTATAATATTTTACGTATAAAATTATCGTATAAATAGTTCTTTGGACACACAGGTTAATGAGAAAATGTAATTACAATTAAAATTTTAGCTATTTTCATGTTGCTTTAAAAGTGTGTAGAGAATTGGCCTTGATGCTGATAATGTACTTTCAACTTTCCATGTAAGTTCCATGGTCCTAAAAAGGAAAACAAAGTAACCACAACATAAATAAAAGTGGCAGGTGTAAACGGCAATTTTTTGAAAACTACCCAATTATCGTTTCGCTTAGCTGTACTAACCTGATGGAGTCTGTATAAAGCTAATAAAACGTTGTGAAAAGATGATTGTTTCTTAATCGGGATTGATTTTCTTTCTGTCCCATCATCAAAGGTATCGTTAGTACTATCGTCTATCTTCGTTTTCAGGAGCGATTCACAAACATCCGGTATACAAGGTAGTCATGTTGCACTATGTGTAGTCCTATATTAAGGATAGCATATGATAGTAAGGTCTATGAACAAAAGCAAATATGTGTAAGGTCTAAAATATGTAAAAGTATTAAATTGGGACTTGAAAAGTGGTGTGTGAACTGCTTAACCGTGACCGAGATCGCGGTAAACGTGGACTCATTAACCAATGTGTTCGTGGGTATAATTTAGTCTTAGTGCTGGTGATGAGCAGGTTTGTAGCAATATGACTTACCCGTAGACATGGCATGCCCCTACCGGTTATGGGCGGCGTGTTAGTGCATAGCGTAATCTATCGAAATAGGGAGAGTGTGTTTGATAGTACTTTAAAGTGCAAGCATACTCAACTCAATGTATTAGAGCAATAGCTCTATGATACGTTGGTGCCATTTTAAATTGACAACATTACCAATTTTTTTGCCAAAGTCGATAGGGATCATGTAGGTGTTTGGTGAGGGAGCGCAATTCATAAAATAATTGCATTAATGCTTATTGCTACTTGCTTATTGTGATGTACTTGCGGGTGTGTTGCGCCTGATTCGAAGCATTTTGTGGTGTTGGTTGTTGAAAGTGGTGATGATTTCTGTTGGGATCGTTTGTGGGACCTTGAGACGGTGTAAACCTGGCTGTATTCATATTCATGCTTGATGCATTCTGCAGCATTACGTCTCTGCGATGATTCTTTGAAGGGTCGCTATTCTCAATGGGGCTCTCAGCATCTATAAACACCTAAGTAGCTTTGTTATGGCCAATCATTATTTTAATAACTGTTTTTTGGCTATATCCGCCGTTGTATTGGTTGATGGAGTATATGTGTCGAACTAAAGCGGGTGACAGAAAGGAGGGATGAGACTATTAAGGCAGCGGCTGAAAGCTGCTCAACTGGGCTCAGCTGGGATCCCATTGCCTTGAGCTGAACGGTAGACTAATTTCACGCTCTGCGGCTAGAAGCCGTGCTGACCATGCAATCGGTGGTGATGCCTTATACTTACATCATGTCTGCAGGAGCGGTGGTCTGGCAGGTAATGACTTGATTTGATCGTATTTTGTATGACGTATTCTTATGCACTGCCGTGAAGTCAAGCCTTCTTTTACTAGTTCGCCAGTTACTTTGCTATGGATTACGGCCTAGTTCCCAACTTCTCCTCCTACTTCGGGAGGGAGCGCGTTGGTTGGTTTGCGATCACCGCACACGTAGTGCACTCCGCGTGTGCCTCGCCCACATTTTTTTAAAACGTGGAAGAGCGAAGCTCTTGTATCGGGTATTTTTATACAAATATTGTGAGCCCTTTCTAAGTGGTAAGGGATTAATTATAAGAAATTGATTGATGTTACCTGATACAAGTCAAAAAGGGAAAATTTAATATTCTTAACCTTTTTGAGCCCTTACTTCGTGAACGGGGTTCTTTAACTAAAAATAATTAATTATAAGGCACTACTAATGGCTTTCAATTGCTCTAGTGAATTTCAATTTATTTAAGAGACACCTAAAATAACTAAGTTACTAAACAAACTAACTACGACGATAAATTTGAAAACGGAATTTTTATATACAATAGTAGAGAGGGGGAGCGTTACAATATCAATGATATATTGCAAACTATTAATGTTCTATTCTATTAATATAATATTTTATTCTATTAACTATTAATATATATTTACTATTCTTTATTATGCAGACGACAACACAGGCGTTGTGTTTTATTTTTACACTAGCTGTATTAATATTTTTTAGAAAAAATTCATCGAGCGCTGGAACAAAATTGTCTCTAAAGCACAACAATTAAATCAAGTCTAGGACTGGATGCGACTAAACTAGTCCAGTTTTTACCTTAAAAGAAAGAGGTATGCGAGTTAGCCGCTTAAAAAACTATTTCTTATCTCCTCAATTTCAGGGCACTCCGGTTGTTGCTTCAGTCAGCATTGAAATCCTTGACATCAAAATATCGAGTAATATACATTTCTTACTTTTACTTACTTTTAAAATGTAAGTACTTATGTCGATAACACAGAATATCCATCTTAATTTACCGGTGCAGCAACTGTGAAATTGCACTTTATTGTAGAAATAAGATTACTTCAATTACAAATTAAAATATACGAAAGGTTTCTCACAATTAATGTTTAAAACGATGATCTATTACTTGTAAAGTTAAATTAAAACTATTTTGTGTACTCCTAAGTATATAATGTGTTTGCTCATTTTGTATGTTGATGATGATAATAACATCCCCATTGTTGGCGACGCGCCTATAAAAATGTTTCAGTTTATTAAATCAACCGATGACGTTGCTATGAAAAAAGGGGTAGTCACGAGCAACGACGCTCTGATAAGAGAATGCTTAGTTAAATCTTTAAGAAATGTCGAATTAATGATATGAAGGTCTTGGGTTCGACTCCCAGGCCGGACTAGTTTGTTTGTTTTCCTAAGTAATATCGCTTAATAAATTCGTAAGGAATTTAAGATATAAATTATGTTACCGGATTTGTTCCCCGGTTGAAATCATCTTTCAAATGATGTAAATTCATAAGAATATTAAAGTGAAGTTAAAGATCGGATTTGTTCCCCGGTCGAGATAATCACTCTGTGCATAGGCAGAATTAATGGATATTAATTGCATAAATGTTGTTTTGTATAAGTTTGATACGTTTTGTACGAAAACAAATGCCTATTTGTTATGATTGATTAATGAGAACATTCATTTATATTGTTATCTGATTAAAGATAGTTTCATACAGTTCGAAAATTGTATAAAAGCATTTAATTTGCCTAATATGGTCAAAATTGGTGTATTTCATAATTTAATTTTTTCTGATAGCCGAGAGCCGTGCAAAGTTAGTTGTTCACATAGCGTGAGTACACGGAAGCACGCTGGCCACGCCCTTAGGAGGCCGAATATGTAAAAATTTAAAATGTTTGTAATTCAGTGATTTATGTAAAAATTACTTGTAAAATATTTCAGGTTAATTGTACGTGCTAAAAAGGTAAATTCTGTGTTATTTTCATGTGAAAATTCCTGTGTATAAGTGAAATAATGATAGTTTTGTATAAGAAATTTAAAAGTGTTTTAAATAGTGAAATAAATAGAAAAAATGTAAATTAAACTATTGTATTGGTTAGCTTATGTATAAATTCAAGTGAGAAACATTGTTTTAACTTTCTGTGTTAAATATTTAAGAAATTTCGATTTCGAACTTGTGAGTAAAATAGGCAGTTTTCGTTTAATAAATAAAAGGTTTTTTATGATATGAAGATATGATGTATATCATGGTGTAGATATTGTTTTGTACTACCTATATTGATAAATTGTATTTGTATATGATTTGAATAAATAAAGATATTGAGTGAAACGTGAGAGAGTAATAGTACAAATTCATGTAATTAAGTTGCGCAAGCGCGCAGATGGCGCGGCTCACTTTCGCGTTTAGCTTAGGGGTAGGATAGTAAATTGATTTTATTGCAATTCGTTCGGGAATCGTTCGGGAATGGTTCGGGAAATATTCAAGGAAATCGTTCGGGAATCGTTCGGGAATGGTTCGGGAAATATTCAAGGAAATCGTTCGGGAATCGTTCGGGAAATATTCAAGGAAATAGTTCGGAAATAA